TGACAGGAAATAGTATGATCTGCAATCTGGGGTATGTCTGAAACATAAAGGAAGGGGAAAGTGTTGCTGGTTGGGTCCTTCTGGCCCTGGATTAGGGAGATATTTTGCCTGTAAACTGATCAGTGACCAAAGTGATCTGACATGTGATTGCTTCAAATTGTATCACATTGAGCAGTTTTGGTGTCCCTGCAGGTTTTATCTTGATTTTCTGTTCTCTGAACGTTGAGTTCAGGGCATTAAGTTTGGACTTAAAGTTTGGATACCCTTTCAGATGCCAGTCTTGAGTAAAACTTGTGAGTAAAGCAGCTCAAAGACCTTTTGTTTTTAATCTGTTATATCAGGTGTGTGACTTTTTTACCTTAATCTTAATTACTGAAGTAATTTTTAGGTCACCCAGTTCTCAGCTGTTTCCATCACAGATGGAAAAGGGGGTGGGAGGCACAGTCATGTCTGGAGTAGAAGTGTTGCATTGGGTTTGCTGATGGAAAAGATTTGGTGGCCCAAGTGGCTGATTTCCCAGAAGGGGCTAAATTGGGAGAAGCTACAACTGTGCTGTAGCACTGAGCCACCTCAGCTGGTGTCTCTTGGCTCTGAGTTAGCTCTGAGTAGAGTTAGCACAGAAATACAACACAGAAGTGAAACCAGACTGAGCTTCTTTCTGAAGACACTGCTCAACTCAGCAATAACATAGTCAAATGAGCAGGAGCTATTCCAGTAAAGGTGTGAAGGCCAGAGGGTTAAATCTGAGGGGTTTGTGATGAATGGGAGCAAATTCCTGCTCCAGGGAAGGCTGGGAGCTTTAAATGCCATCCTGAACCTCCTCTCAAGTGGAATGGCTTAGCCTTTGGAATGGGGAGAGCTGCAGGTTTGTGTAAACCCTCTCCAAACCTGGAGTGTGGGTTAAGTCTCAGGGAACTGGTGATGGAGAGCTGTCAAAAGAAGGGAATAAAGCCTGTGAGTATCTCCAAGTGTCTGCAGTGAAATGAGTGTGTAAAGGTATCGTTTTTAAAGTGCAAAATGGCTGTGGTAACTCCTCATTTCACTGATGTCTCTTGAAAAGAGCAAACCAGCACCACTTCTGAGGTGTTACTGGTTCTGCCAGTGGCACTGGTGTTGGGAAGGCTCTAGATCTGTATCTTGGCATATAATAACTTCATTTATCAGGTGACAGCTCGGTGCAGAATGCCATGCTGGGCTGGTGTGGGTGCTGCCTCAGTCTAGGGACAGGTTTGGTGCCCTGGGCTGTGATAGCTGCAGGAGAAGCTGTTTGCTCACAGGTTTGAGCAGTGTTGGGTCGGCTCCTGTTTCCTGGTGATCCCAGCAGTATCCCAGCCACAGATGCTCTGTATTTGTGTGTCCTGTCCCCCTCACCCCAAGGAGCTCTGTGGCTTAGGGACATTGATGAGTGGGAGTCAAAGAGAAGTTGAACATTTTGCCTGTTTCAGTGTTGATGATTTGCATATCTGTAATAACTTCCTGAGGTTTTATTTGTGTTTTCTGCTTTGAATAACATCTGCGCATGCTCAGCCTTGAAAGTATTCAGCTGTGCCCCTGTGTGAGTGCACAGTTATAGAGTTAATTTTGTCATTTTCAGCACTATTTTTGTGTTATTTGAGCTTTAGCACAGTGTGCCTGGACAATCAAAGACCTGTGGCTGTTCTGAGAGAGTTTTTTTTGTTTGGAAATAAGCTAAGTGCAGCAAAAAGGCTCAAGAGAAGAGCAAGTGAAGGCAAAAGAAGCTGAAACATAACTACTATAGACATACTCCTAACCTTTTTCCCTGTGGTGGTGCCATGGGAAGGCTATAACAGATGCTTAAGTGGAGATTGTAGATAGTCAAATATCTGTAGAGGAAACTTATTAAAGAGCTTTCATCTAAGCTAATATTTTCAGTCTCTGAGATTCCTGTGATCTCTGAATCCTTCAGTGACTTCAGCTGTAATAAAACTTCCTTTAGAATTTCTGTCTGAACTCTTTGCTCCTCCACGGGAGTTCTGGGCTGGATGAAACAGGAATGGTGGAAAACGATCTCATATCAAGTAAACACTAAGCTCATTAAGTCCTGCATCCTCAAAGAGCTTGGCCTGAGAGCAGCCCAGACAGGGAGCCAGCCTGGCTGATCACCTGCTCCGTGCCCAGGGGTTCATAACCTCTCCGTGTCTCAGGGCAGAAATTATGTGGCAATGTTTTGTCTGGAGGTTTTTTAAGAAACCTGCTCATCAGTCTGTGATTTTTACAAGAGAACTGAGCAAGTGGAAATCCAGAACAGGTGAAGTGAAGAGCAGTTAGGTGTTCCCAAAGAACACCTTGTGTGGTTTTTGAGCAGCACTAATGATGTGCCACTCAAAGCTGCAGTGGTGGCACATCCCTGGGAGTGTTCACCCTGCTGTCAAATCAGGGAGCTTTGTGCTGCTGGTTTTGGTACCTTAGATGTGGTTCCTGTCTCTCTCTAAGTGCCTGCAGCTATTCCATACACTCCAGCCTGGAACCAAAGGATGTGTTTGATCACAGAGCTGGTCTCTAAAGCTTCACTTCACCTGCAGTGCAATAACCAGAAGCAAAAGATATTAGAATTACCCATTCTGTCCTGCAGCAGAGTGTACCAGATGTATCCCAGACCCCAAGGTACCACTTGGCTCTGTAATCTCTCTGCTCTGAGTTGCCTTTTTGACCATTCCAGCCGGATTTGTGCTGGATTAAAGTGACGTAGAACTGTGGATTTAGGGACAGAAGTGCAGCAGAACCTGCCTTGGTTTCAGTGCTTTAAGAGATCTACTGGCAAGCTGTTTAATTACCTAAATGCTCTGCAAGAACCTGAAGAGTCCTGCTGCTCAGCCTGGCCCTTCCCTCCTCGGTACCAGGGAAATACACTTAACTTGTGTCTGGATGTTTTTGTTTTCCCATTGCACACAGCCAGCATGGACTGAGCCCCTCTGAGAGTCTCTGCCTTAAACAATGCTGCTCATGGCTTTTTGCAGCTGTTACTGAATATATAGATATAGAAATGGTCAGGCCAGGTTCTCTTGGTTAATCCATAAACACTGCAAATGCAGATTTTCCTTCAGTGTAGTTCAGGATTTCCTCACTGTAAAACACTTACTCCTGGGTGGCAGTTTTAGTGGTGGTTTTTAACATCCTTCCCTAGGCTTTTTTGTTCATTAAACAATTCCAGCTGACAGAGAAAGATGGAGCACTTCCATAAGTGTTCCCACGATCCCCAAGTGAGGAGCATGACCTGTGACCATGTGCCAGTTCTCCTTCCTGGACGGGAGAGATAGCAGGAGGTAAAGACAATACTTGGGAAGAAAGATCCCCTGCCTGAGCTTGGCTGCTGGAGCTGGGCAGGCACAGGTCATCTGAAGAGTATCTTTCCCTGGGGACTGAGAGGTTAGCAACAAGGAGTGAGGAGTTTCCCTTCCCCTGGACATCTAAGGAGGAGAAGTTGTCTTGTGACTTGGCTGTCACTTTTGGGCAGGAATGTGGTGCTAGTTCAATGATCAATTTGGGATCACTTTCCAGGATAAATAGCTTCACTCCAGGCTCATTTCAGCCAAGAATTTGCTTGTCAGATTATCTAAGTGCTTAAGGAGTTTGGGTTGATGTACATTACTTGACTGTGGTCATTGTCAGTGACAACAGGTAACTGCCATAAACTTCTGTTCCTGGGGTCAGTGCATCCTCCTCAGGCTGAAGGCTCAGATCTTCAGGACATTATTGCAGGTGTATGGGAGTTGGAATATTTTGCAAGGCTGATCTATGACCAGAGCTGGATGAGAAATAAATACATGATCTCCCCAGACCAGGCTGTAAATGTTTCTCTTTTGGCAGTGAATGGGCAGTGCCTTTAAGAACAACTTTCATAATGACTGTCCACTGAACTGAGCTCTCCCTCCTTTCCTCATTCCTAGGGTATAGCTTAATTGCAGGAGGCTTTGCTTCCTGTTTCTCCCTGTCCTGGGGGCTGCTACAGTGGGGAATGTGATAATGGAACTGCTCTGGTCTTGAGGCTGTTCTTAAATCCAAACTTTTGGAGCTTGGCAGGACACAGGAGGGTGAAATTAAAGGTAAACTCATTGTATATGGGTAGCTAAAAATGGCGAAGAGAAAAGGGAGGGAAGGAGCAGTGGAAAACTGTTCTTCACCTGACCTGATCAGAGTAACTTGTGCAGGGTTTGGGTGCTATTAGGCCTGCAGGAAAGTGTCTGTATCTGTTGGTGAAAAGGACAGCTAAAGGTTATGTCAAGTCCATGATTCGACACCTCAAGTGTCTGTGGTGATGTCTGGGGCACATTTGCTGACTCTGAAGTGAAGTTTAAGGGTGTTTTCTGTGTCAGAACTGGTGTGAGACTCACTGCAGTGAGCCCTTTGGAGAATGTGCTGAGATTTCTCCAAGTAACTGAAATCCCTGATCTGTCACACACAGGCAGCTGTTGGTGTGTGTTTTGTGGCAAGGAGAGAATAGTGGCTCATACTCTGTGTGTGCGCTTCATTTTTCTGATAAAGCTGGAGGAGGGAGAGAGCTCTGTGTTGGAACAGAGTTTGTCTTGGATACTGATTATCTTGAGCTGAACAGCACAGTGCAAATGAGGAAGTGTTGGACCTGTTTTGGGAGAAGGAACTTTCAGTTCCTTAACTCAGGTTATTATTGAGATAATGTGGAAAAACAACACATTAAATCCACAAATGTTGGAAGCAGTTTTTGGTGAGGTAAGGACTGGATTCCTTCCCATCAACAGCTCAGTGTTAAACTGGTAACATCATGACACCAGTTAAAGACTGCTCTTCAATCCAGTCTAGAACCCTGTTTGCAATGCCAAGCCAATAATCCATGATCAGATGGAGTGAGTTTTGTTTGTATCCATACAAAACATGCTGCAGCTTTGGTACAAGATACAGTTTCTAGTTCTGAGGAGTCAGCAAGCACTGCTGTTCCTGTGTGTGTGGGAATGTCATGTGTTACCTGTCCATGTCCTGACCAAGGGCTGTTTTTGTTCCTGCAGAGTGACCAGCAGCTGGATTGTGCCTTGGATTTGATGAGGCGTCTGCCTCCACAGCAGATAGAGAAGAATCTCAGTGACCTCATTGACCTGGTGAGTATTGAATGCTCTGACCAAGATCTGGTATGTTAAGATCATTTCTGAAACACCTCCAAGGTGTGGTGATTCGTTTCTCCCCATGTCTTTTGGCAAGGTTGAACAAACAGCAATTGCCCAAGCAATGTCAGGAATGTACATGTTTATTTTGGGCAAGCCAACAGGTACTGCTGTGTGTGCAGGACACTTTCAGATGAAGGGCCATTAAAGCTCTCTTGATGAAGTCATCCCCAGGTCAGAAGCTGCTGTTTAAATCTGGAGCTGTCTGTACAAGTCTGATGTATTAACTTGTACCTGTGTATTATCTCCTGATAACCAACCTGTCTGTGTGGAGCTGTGGCAGGTGCAGTGGCTGTGCTATGGCACAGGCTTCAGAGACACTGCTCAGAACATGTCAGAGCACTGGAGAACACCCAAATCTGGTTATAATTTATACTCTCTCAGGTATTCTGTGTCAAAAAAACCCAACCTGGCCAACCATCTTGTGCCTGGTACCTGTTTTCTATTTGTTCCTGGAATATTTGTTGTCCTGAAAACTGCTAATGAAGAAAACTAACTTAAGGATTTCTAGGCTCATTACAAGTCGCATAGGATTTAGTTGCACATTCTGAGATGCACTTTCAGTCTATAATATCCTCATTAGTGTCAACTGTCCCTTAAAACAGCATGTGGCACAGTTGCCTGTGGAATAACCAAAGGCATTACTGAAATATGGATTTAATCTATACAGAACCTACTAGTGGGAAAAGTTCTTGCTATTGTCCAGTCTAAATACATTATTGAGGCTTATTTCTGCCCTAAGATTCTAAATTTGTGCAGACAGGACATGGAAACTGGAGCAGCTGTGAGAGCTTTGAATTAAGCTTGTCTTATCTCTAGTGAGAACTACATCCCTTTCCTGTGGCAGATCGGAATTGAATGTGGTGCTGACCCACCTAGTCCAAGAGCCCCTAATACGTCATGGTTCTGCACACAGCAGTGTTTGAATTGGTGCCTCTTAATTAAATTGCTTGAATTGAGTCTGAGCTGTTTGTCTTCTTGGTGTGCAGAAGAGCAGCTGCTTAGCAGATAGAGGTTTGGTTGAGGAGGTCTGTTCCTTGATGGTTCAAGAGTTGGTGAACTGTGGTCAGAAAGATGCTCTTGACTTAGCCTTATCAGCTCTAAATAGTTCTTTTACTTCCATAAGCCAAGATACAGGTAGGAGAGCTCTTTGGGTCAGGAAAGAAATGATTCCCTGCAGGAAGGGATTGCTTCTCTTGAAACTATTTAGTAATTGGCTACATCTGTGCCACCAAAACTCTTGGCAACCTCAAGCATCATTTTTGTGGCTGTTGCTGGAGGTAGGACACAGAGTAACTCAGTCTCTGATATGATGTGGTGTGACATGGTTGGTTTTCTGATGGAATTTGGAGCACTGAAGGGATATCAGGGTTTGAGCAGCTCCCAGGACCATTCAAAACAAGGAGCTGTTTGGGAGTCATGGTGAGCTTGACTGTGTAATTGGTATGAGGCTTTTTTAATGACTCAGAAAATTGCTGGTTACCTCTAAATGTTGGAATTACTTTTGGATGGTGCTCATTAGTGCTCTCCATGCTTTCCATCAGCAACACACACACTGGGCTCCTTTTCATACTGCAAGTGTAACATGAACCAGAGCAGTTTGATGCTTGTTAGAAGGAGGGTCTGTGTGATTCCCAAACGAGTCATTGCAGTCACTTCTCTGGGGGAGAGATGAAATGATTTGTTAAATCCAGTTGGATTTATTTATTGCTGAGACGATAAAGATGTTAAGGAAAAGATGTTGACGAGATGTTAAGTAAAAGATGTTGACAATAAATTCTTATAAGAAGGACATGGAACTGTTGGAGCAAGGCCAGAGGAGGCCACAAAGCTGCTCAGAGCACTGGAGCACCTTCCCTGTGAGGACAGGCTGAGAGAGTTGGGGCTGTTCAGGTTGTGTAGATATCTCACAGCACTTTCCAGGATCTGAAGGGCCTACAGGGAAGCTGCAGAGGGACTCTTTGGTAGGAACTGGAGTAATAGGACAAGGACTAATGGGTACAAATTGAAAGAGGGGAAATATAGGTTAGATATTAGGAAGAATCTTTTCCCTGTGAGGATGGTGAGACACTGTCCCCAGGTTGCCCAGGGAGGTGGCTGGCCTAGCCCTGGTGGTATTCAAAGTCTGGTTGGCTAATCCTTGAGCAACCTGCTCTGGTGGGAGGTGTCCAGGGCAGGGGGTTGGGGCTGGATCATCTCTAAGCTCCATCCCAACCCCCTTAACATCCTATGAAACTATGAGACTGCAGCTACTCTCAGCTTGACCTCCACAAGACTGAAGTCTGCACTGGTTAGGTAAGAGCAGTGTATGCTCTGCCACCTGTCATAGTTCCAAAAACATCATGAGCCAGACTGTAGCAAATAGTTTTTTGACCTTTTTTGGCAAATTTCATCCAAACCTTTACAGCTGATGTTTTGATTCTGTTTCCTGCCCCATTACCAGACAATAACCTCCTTGAAGGAAAAGGTCAGACTCCCAAGTGCCTGAGGAGCATGAGCAGGTTCATTAAAATTGTGTTGGAATTATAAAGGATGATGCCCTCACTTCTTGGTTTCCTTGTGCTGGGCTCCCTTGCTGCATTACACTGCCCTGCTGGAGGACATGTGAGGCAGAGGCTCATGTCAGTTTTTTGGTGTGAAGTGTAGGTTATTACTTGAAGTCTGCTTGCAGCTCAGCTTGCCGTAGTCTTACAGGACTTGATCTCTCTGGTGGTTTGCTGCTTGAACATCCATTGAAAGGAGAAGGTGACTTAGAAAGGTTTTTGTATGTAAAAAGTCTTCCAAAACTAATACAGTGAGAAACTGACATCTCCCTCATTGAATCATGGAATGGTTTGGGTTGAAAGGACCTTAAAGCCCACTCAGTCTCACCCCCTGCCATGAG